ATAAACCTAGCCTTGTTAATGAAATGTCACAGGCTACCAAAAACCCAGAAAAATACCCTGGATCATTTTGTCATTTTGATTACATTTCAGCTGAAAGAGTAAGACTTGGAATGATGTCAGCATATAATAATTAAATATGGCCTAACCAGCCTGCAGGTATATATTTAAGCAAAAACAAACACAAAAAATCCTTACATGCACCTGATGGCTTTTTGTTTGTTTGTTTTTTAACAGCAAGCACATATTTGGCAACATGTAACAGTTAAGAGGATGGTCATCACTAATTCCTTTGGAATCCATGTAATAGCAACGGTCATGAGAAACCACAGTGGATATAACACACAGTGTGGGTGTATTTCTTTATAAGTCAGCAGCAGTGAAAAGATTTATAATTTCTGTCTTCCTGACATCAGTGGGCAAGGGAGGCAGGCAGCCCGGTTGGCTTTGATGAAAAGACATTACACGTCATATGCCGCTAATATGGGTTAACGGTTGTAATATCTTTACCCTGATGTCAGTTACAGCTGTTGCTTCATTCAGGTATGTCAGCAAAGTAAAGCTGTTTGAACACAGGGAGGATGCTCTGAAAGTCATCCACAGGACACTTTCCCCACGTCTTTCATGCTTGCTGCTGTTTCATCAAAACAGTTTAAAGAAATTTATCTTTTTTTTCCCTCAGCTGCAATTTAAACCAAAGACTTCTTTCTCTTCCCTTTCAAGCTTTGATAAGAAGCACCCAGCCTTTTTGAAAAATCCTAGAGGCAAGTCAAGTCTCCCCACTTCCGGCCCCTTCATCAAGGTCTTGACGTGTGAAGATCTGAGTGAAAGACGTCTGCTTGAAGTCACATTTCTGGCTGCAGCTGGGCAGGTCACAGCATCCTTGATGTGGATATGATTCTCCTGCTTAGAGAAGCAAGAAAAGGGGGAAGAATTTCAACGCCCCCCTGCTACACACCCCAGACAACTACCTCAGACAGTCTCTTGGGGGTCCCAGGATCAGAACTCTGCCTGAGGCGGCCAGCGGGACTTGAAAGAAACCCTCCGTGCTGGGGGCGATGAGCCAGCCCTGTCGCTACGCTCCATGTGGAGAAAACATTTGCGAGGAGGCGCCTGCTTCCCCAGCAGCCCGCCGGTGGGGAGATGGAATCTCAGGGAAGTTTCTGACAGCCTGTGCTTCGGAGGAGTGGGGGACATCATGTCCACATGAGACAGAGAGGCTGGAGAGACTTCTGAAGTGTTTTGGTCCATGGGGCGACTGGTTCAGCTCTGTGACAGCCGATCCCCAAAGGTTTCTATTTAGCTAGACATTCGTGGGTCATGATCAAGTATTGATGAAAGTACAAATGCAATGAGCTCTCTCACGGAAAACCATCTGCTGATAGACTCATTTTATTCACTTCACAGATCATTTCCTTTGCTTTTAATACACACGCCAACACCCTCACAGAAAGCCACAGCGAATCATTTTTTTTTTTTTCCATCACACTCCTTAACCCAGAACCCTCCTGTCTCCGCTGTCCGAGACCCTCCGGTGGGGTGAGGCAGCCTCATGCCTCCTTCTCTTGTTCTGCCTCTGACTTGCCTCACGCTCAGACTGTCGGCCACTTGGTACAGGGAGACCAGGTCCATGAGCTGAGGTTTTTATACCAACAAGTGCTGACGTGGGAGAACTTCAGAAAGAAGAGATTTTCAACTGCTCTTCAACCATTGGTTGTTTCACAAATAGTTCTTTCAATGAGGAGCATTTCATCTGAGCAAGCATTTGCTGACTCACCCCAAGAGCACACAGCTTCCAGGAAGTTGGGTTGGCAACAGACGCTGGCTAAAGAAAAACCCAGGCAATTGTTTTTCCATTATTCCATTACCAGCTGGCAGAGAGGACAAATCACCAAAATAGGAGTGTCTCCTTCGACGTGAAGGCACGGAGACTGCGGCAAGGCGGCCTGGCGCTGTGACCATCTGCTCTGCCTTCTCAAACAGTTCCAAGTGTTGTCTGGTCCGAGCTCGTGAATATCAGCCACAGACCCCCTGCTCCTGCAACCTGCTTTATCACTGAAGGATCACTGTGTGCCAGAACCCAAACATGCTCTGGTGCAAAGAAATCAGCTCCAGGACCGGATGTGAATACTGAAGTTATGATGATGATACATTCTATTATAATTTCAAAGTCTAGTCTTTCCCTAAATCTGATGTTAATAAGAGAATCTAGCACATGGTGACCAATTCCTGACAGAGCTATAGGGATGGCTAATAGGATTCAGGCCTTTACTTCCATATTTATTATATTAATAGCATTATTATATTTCTGCAATGACCTCATTAAAACAGAAATACTGGATATTTGAAACTTACTCATCAGCATTTGTCTTCCCTGGTAGCCCAGATGGTAAAGAATCCACCTGCAATGAGGGAGATCTGGGTTCGATCCCTGGATTGGGAAGGTCCCCTGGAGAAGGGAATGGCAACCCACTCCAGTATCCTTGCCTGGAGAATCCCCATGGACAGAGGAGCCTGGTGGGCTACAGTCCATGGGGTCACAGAGAGTTGGACACAACTGAGTGACTGAGCACATCACTGGAAAAGACCCTGATGCTGGGAAAGATTGAAGGCAGGAAGAGAAGGGGATGACAGAGGATGAGATGGTAGGATGGCATCACCGACTTGATAGGCATGAGTTTGAGCAAGCTCCGGGAGTTGGTGATGGACAGAGAGGCCTGTTGTGCTGCAGTCCATGGGGTCGCAAAGAGTTGGACACGACTGAGTGACTGAACTGAAGCACATCCCTCAGCATTAAAAATCAACTATAATCATGGAGAAAAGAAATTAGTTGAGCAGAAACTAAAACTTAACTTGCAGCCTTGTCCTGAGCTGGCTGTCCAGAGGAAAGCAAACCTCAACAGACATTATAAATTCCTACCCACTACTTACCTCAGGCACCTTAGTTAAGAACTGTCCTCAGGAATACATAACTCAGTGGCATTTAATCTCAAGTGGGCTTTTATTTATTCTTTAGATTTTAAGACTTGACATCAGGTTTGCAAAGGCAGGAAGCCCTTTCTGGGCATTTTTGAAAGTTGGCCCCACCCAGGCACTCTGAGATATTTAGATATCAACTGACACAAATCCACTTTTTAGAAAGTGTCACAGAACAGTCTAGAAGTGGTTTGGCCTTGAATTTAAATTATCGGTTAGGAAAAGTTTTGGAAATTCTCTGAAGATATTAAAGAAAAACTAGTAGAAGTTGTGGCAAGATAGCTACCTACAAAAGACTGCCCCAAACTAATACCACGCATTTGATGAGGAATATTTTTTGTTAAAAAGCATTAAAAATGTAAATAGAAATTCAACATTGTATTCTAGAAGAGGCCTCATAAGTTCACCAAAACCAAATTAACCTTAAGGGCATGCGTAGCCAGGCTGTCAAAACTGTTTCTAAAAATGAGAAGAGCTTGAGAAAATACAAAGCGTTTAGTGTGTATGACTGATTTTTGCGGCAGCAATGCCCACAGATTCAGCAGTCTTGCTGATGCGTCTTCTCAGTGCCCAGCAGAGGGGCTAAGAGATGAACAACCGGTGGGCTTGCGCTCAGGGTTTCTCAGGACACTACGTCCACGTCTATAGAGGTGACAAGAAACACTAGCTGCTTGCTCTGGGCCAGACGTCCTTCTAAGCACTCAGCTCACACTGGCTTATATTCCATTCCCACAGTAAACCTAAGGAGAAGGCACTGTAACGATCTCCGTTTGACGGAGAGATGAGCAGACTAAGCCAAGTGAAACAACCACCCAGGCCAGCTCTTAATCATCCCACACGACCCTGTGCACCCTTCTTTGCCTTCTCTGTTAAAGTGGATCCAGGCCCTTGCAATGCTTTCCCTCTGCCCACGCCACGATGCCAGGCTTTGCCAGCAGAAGGAGCAGGAGAGACCCTGCAGGAGAAGGGACCCGGACATCAGGAAGCTCAAGGGCCCTTACCTGTGGCTCTGACGGTCCGAAGGTGCTGGCTCAGGAGCAGGTCGGAGGTCCCCCCTGGAACTTGGCAACATTTCTCTCTGAGCACCATCTGCACTGGCTGCTTGCTTCATAACACAGAACATGGGACAGGGCAACGATTTTTGTAATAGTTGCATTTATTTCCATTTTTGGTAAAACTATTGTCCTTCACTCCCCAAACACATTTATAAATAAAGGACATTGTAAGGGTTTGGAGGATCAAATGGCAGAGTTGGCGCCTTCAGGCCATTTTCAGCCATGTAACTCTTTTGGGGAGGGGTGGCTTGCCAAAAACACTGATGTGACCTGCAACTCTTTTCCAGCCAATTCTGCCCTCATGGCTTCCGTGGATATAGACTCTTTTGCTGAATGAAGACAGGTGCAAGGAGTGGGGAGGGGATGGTGGGGGCAACTCTGACCACCCAAGGTCACCGAGAAACAGGTCCCCAGTCTCTGTCAGAGCAGCCACCTATCTCCAAAGTCACCTCCAGTATTAATGGTACAGACATCCAGAGGGGTTTCAAACACACTGTGCAATGGTCCAAAATCTGGAGTTTGCAGAACTGGCAGAAGTTGGGAATGGTATTTTTAAAGTGATGTATTTAGGTCCTAGAAATTTGGTGAAAAAGAAAAAAAAGCCAGTCCCCAGGGATCTAAGCCTGTGAGAGCATAGAAGTCTTTTGTGTCTGGGTGGAAATTGTAAGGGTAAACATCAGAAGCAAAAGGTAAAATTCAGAAGTGAAAAAATGAAAGGACTGTATCAAGTGGGTTCTGTTGGGTTGATTACCCCACTGCAGTCTGAAGATCCATTTCCTCAACGGTTACCGTTTCTGCTTGGTTTAGGTCAGCAATTCAGGAAGCTATGCTTTGCTTTATGGGGGAAAAAAAAAAAAACATCAAAAGTAAAATATGTGTTTCACGTCATGAAGATACGGTTAAGTTTAATGGTTTATCCAGCGTTTGAAGTCATCCCAGGTCCAGGTAGAGGGTCGGTGGGGCAGCCTGTGGTTAGACCGCGTTCCTTTGAAGGAGCTGGTCCAGTAATTGCTGGGGAAGCAGAGACAAAGACATCAAGTTCAGGCCCAGCATCTGGGCACCACACACCCGTCACACCTGCTGGCAGCCGGGCCCTTACCTTTTTGAAGACCTCGGCCCGGAGTCTGTTACTCTGTAAGATCACCCTTTTCTTTTGCTCCTCTTTTTTCTTCCTCACTTCCGGCAAGTTATTATAGATTCTGAAACAAATTGAGAAAACATTTTGAAATGGTAGCAGGACAGCGTGCATCTGCCAAGGCTCTGCCTCCTGTCTTCTCAGCAGGCGCTTGCATTTCAAAGGGGAGATCAGCCCCCTCTGGACCACCTTGTGTCTTGGAGACCCCGAGACCTGGGGCTCCCCTGCCTGTCTTCAGAGGGGGCTGCCCAGGCGGGGGCTGTGTAGTAGATGGGGCCCCACCCAGGGCAGAGCTGGAGGGGCCAGGGATTTACTTAGAAGTCACTTTTCTTTCTCTCCATCCCGTGATAATTGACCACTTGTTTGTAAAATGAGAGCTGCTAGGCCTACTGATTTGGCCACTCTGCGTGTACGCGCGCGCGCGCGCACGCGTGTGTGTGTGCATGCTCAATCAGTCGTGTCCAACTCTTCACAACCCCATGGACTACAGCCCACCAGGCTCCTCTGTCCATGGGATTTCCCAGGCAAGCATACTGGAGTGGGTTGCCATCTCCTCCTCCAGGGGATCTTCCGGACCCAGGGATCAAACCTGTGTCTCCTGCATCACCTGTATTGGCAGGTGGATTCTCTACCATCTGAGCCACTTGGGAAGCCCCCTGAGTGTAAACTTACTTTTTACCAAATACTGTTTTTGCCTCTCAGCTTTTGTCTTCCTGTGACTTGGAAAAGGAGCAGCGAATCTACGAATGTAGCTGGGGTCGAATTGCAGAAGCACACATACAAAATGTGTGAGTCTGCCTCTTCACCTCCTGCATTCCTAAGTAAGCTGATTCCAAACACATCTTAGGAGTAAGCATCACATGCTTGCCCTGGTGCAAAATTAGGAGCTGCCACGACACCAGCAAGGCCTCAAGGAGCCTCCTTCTGGGCCCTTCCTTCTTACCTCCCTACAGAGACTGTGTATGTACTGACGCCAAACAGGATTTTGGCTGGCATCCATGGACAGAGAGGGGACACACAGCCTGAGCTTTGAGGATGCTGCACTGGTGACATGTGGCTGAACATCTCTTTTATTTTCCCTCATGTTTGAAAGCCCAACAAAATTTAACAAGTTCCCCTATTAAAATAATAATTACAAAGTATAAAAAGATTGATAATGGCAACATTAGCAAGACATCGTCTTGGTTAATGGGCATTAGGCTAATCATCTTTTTCATGAATTTGTCTTTTAAAATTATCTTTTACTGAATAAAATATAGAGCTGATTTACAGTATGGCTATAATCAGTATAGCTGATTTACAATATTGTGTTAGTTTCAGGTGTATAGCAGTGATTTAGCTTATACATGTACATATATTCTTTTTCAGATATTAGGTTATTGAAAAACAGTCCACTTTCTGGTGCTACAGAGTGGTCCTTGTTGATTATCTGTTTTACACGCAATAGTACCTATGTGTTAGTCCCAAACTCCTATTTTATCCCTTCCCCACCCTTTCCCCCTGGGAAGCATAAGTTTCTTTTTGAAGTCTGTGGGTCAATTTCAGTTTTGCAGGTAAGTTCATTTATTTTAGATTCCACGTATAAGCGGTATCATATGATATCTGTCTGACCTAATTCATGGAGTATGATCATCCCTAGGCCCATCCATTGTTGCTGCAAATGGTGCTATTTCACCCATTTTTATGGCTGAGTAATATTCCACTGTATATGTTTCACATCTTGATCCAGTCATCTGTTGATGGACACTGAGGTGTCTTTCATGTCTTGGCTATTGTGAATAGTGCTGCTATGAACATTGGGGTGCATGTACCTCTTCAAATTACAGTTTTCTCTGGGTATATGTCCAGGAGTGGGCTTGCAGGATCACATGGTAGCTCTATTATCAGTTTTTGAAGGCTCCTCCTCCTTACTGTTCTCCATAAGAGCTATACCAATTTACATTCCCACCAACAGTGTAGGAGGGGCCCTTAATAGTCTAATCATCTGACACGAATTTTCCCGGGTAGCCATCACACCAGGTGGGAGACATCGTGCAGTGTCCTGTTGTTATGGGAGTGAGGGGCACCAGGCCCAGTGAGGTCAGGAGGCCAGTGATGTCCCTCAGCTGGTGAATGAGGACCTGGGAGCCCAGCCTTGGTCTGCTTGACTTCTTGCAACACTGGCCCCCAACCACGTTGCATAAAGTAGCCCAGGAACTGCTTGCACCCATCAGAGTGGCTGGCACAGAGGGCGTCAGCATGGTATGAATTACTGAGTGCATACACGACTGCCAAGCCCAGGAGCTGTTCTAGAAGGAACCAGAAGGCCGTCAGGATCAGTAGGAAAGATGACATGTCCTAAAACTCTACAGTGGAAATCCTTCTGCACCTATAGAGACACATTGTCCCGATCTTAACCATCTGACTATGTGGGGTGTTCAGGATAAAAATTCCTAGGCCTCAATCCTGGAGCTTCTGCTGCAGTATTTTCCTAAAAGAATATCCTTAACAAATTATTGTTCATTTATGCAATGGACTACTCTGCATCAGTGAAGAAAATCATCCATATCTATATCTTCTGACACAGAAAGACCCCACAGACATAAAGTAAAAGAAGCGAGTTATAGAAAGATAATACATAGCATGATCCTATTTATGGTCGAAAATTAGACAACTGTATATGTAACAATGTCTGTTTTCAGGCAGAGAAAAAGGCCTGGAAGGGTATAAAGGATGCTGATACCTATGGTGTCTCTGGAGGCAGGACAAGGTTGGGGAAGTGGAGTAGGAGGGGGGATAGCTGGTCATGAGGGACTTCTGTTCTCTCTCCTGTGTTTGAATTTTTAAAATGAAAGTGCAATTTAGTAATAGAATTAGTAACAAAGAACATGAAAGAAACATTATGATTCTGCAGGGGAGTGAAGTCTGAGTCGGGGTCTGGACCCACTCAGGGCAGACCACAGAGTAGATGCCTCTCTGACTGTGTCCGAGGAGCCTGGCTTCCAGCCAGGGGACATAGCACCATTACTCTCTGGTCCTCTCAGAGGCAGCTCCGTCTTCACTAAGATGACAGGGCGATGCTCTGTCCACAGATGCTGCTTTGAGATCGAGCATTTTAATTTCAAGCCTCCACAATAGTGGCTTTGGGCTTAGGGACCAGGAGGGGAACATTGGCTGAATTTTCCACCAAATTGAAAGAGGAATACTTTGGGCATGAGGTATACACGGCTTCATACATCTGAAACAGCAGGTCTTGACCCCCAGTGGCCCTTTAAACCCCCAGTTAGAATGCTGTGAAGCCGGTGGTTAATGGGAGGGTTCTCCTTCCCGCCACTGACACTTTTTTTAAAAATTTACAGAGAGATTCCCTACAGATAATCAAAGCTGGCTAATGATCATGGAAACAATATAATCATGGGAAAAGCAGAGATTTTTGTGCCTAGAGTGGGGAGAAATGTACTCTTCCTGTTTCAATGGTTTCTCTCAGTTGCCCTATCAGTTTGGTTTAATTATTATAATCCCCCTCTAATGCCAGATAGTTTATTATAAACTAATGACATGTTACTTGCATGAACTTGGCGAACTCTGCCGGGTTATTACGTGTGGATTGGGAGGCCTGAGCTCGGGAAGAATGGCAGCTTTTGTGTGCTGGTGAGAATGAGGGGGCGTCCAGAACTGCAACTAGCCAAGCAGGACACGGAGAGCTTGCGGCGGCCAGGCGCCAAGAAGGCTGGCTCATGGCCCTCTGTGGCTCCGTGGCCCCCTCACACCATCCACCTGCAGGCCTGGAAGCTTTCTTGCATGCCCAGAGAGCCAGCTCCTCCCCCTCTTATGAAATTACCTGCGAAGGTGCACAGTGATAAACAGCACCTGCCTAGAGCAACGGCAGGAACACGCAGAAGTGTTTCTGTTGAGTCTGGGGATCTCTTAGAGACCAATAACTGGACTGGTTCAGAACTCAAGACCCACCACCTTCCTAAGGGTTTTCCAAGAACGACATCAGCATTCAGAGGTGCAATTCGGCAACTGCGCTCCTTTGGGCCAGCTTTTCAAATTCATGGCCGAGAAGACCTCAGAGCTCAGACGTGGACCGAGACGTCATGGTCCCGCTGGACACTGGATCCAGCAAGCCACCCCTCCTTCCCCCACTTTTTCCACCTCACACAATACAACCAAGTACCTTTTAGATCGCATGTGCATCTCCTTCTCTGAAATGTACCTTTCTTTGGGCTTGAACAAGTTATCTGGAAAAAAAAATGGAAAGATGATTAATTTCAGAATATACGGATGTTGCACTTACCTAGAAAAACATCACAGCGGGCTTGCTTGACTCTCTGTTATCTGTCCTTAATCCAAGATCAGCCTGTTATAAACACCGCAGGACTCAATAGACACACACCACGCATGATTGTATCAAATTCGGCGACCTATAGGTTGGCCTTGACCACAGTCAAGCACAGCATGAAGTTCAGGGTCAGCTCTAACAGACTTCTTGGGCAGTGACTCCTTTGCAGGCTTCACTGAGCGACAAAGAGTCACAGTTTACTGGGGTCGTGCCAGGGCAGCACAAAAACGTGTTTCAGCATTGCTCTGGGTGCAGGGCCAGGGAGGTGGTCATCCCGTCCACAAAGCAGTCACACTAGGTTTTTGGTGCCTCTGAGGCCACCGAGGGCAGGAGCTTTCACTCCCAACTACAGTCTCCATCGTGGATGCTCAGCCTCTACTCCCTTTCTAAGGGGTAGGAATTAGTCCTTTCCAAGGTCAGAAAATGTAACGGAAAACAGCATAACAGTAACATCTGTCTAGTGTCCTTTGAGAAAGCACCCAGTGGCTACACATCACCAAGTCTGGAATGTCTTTTAATGAAAGTACACATTGCTAATTGCAAGGATGTTTATAGATGGCACTCATAAAAATGGTCTGCATTTTTTTTTTAGAAAGAAGAAAAAATAGTGAGTACCCTTTTGATACAACTGTGAGATGCCTGAGAGACTCTTGGCCCTATAGATTAGCCAAAAGTCTGGCACCCCAAAATGCTCCTGGGGTGCTTGCTGCACGGGGATGCATCTGAGTAGCTATCACTGCCCGGAACACCTGGATGCTAACCAGCGCACCAGCCTTCACTTGGCAGAAGTAGATGGTGACTCAGCATCCCTCAGTCATGGAACTGAGGCAGGCTCCTGGCATCCTCAGCCAAGACCCCACCAGGCTTCAATCAGCCTCCCCACCTGGGCCTGTTCCCCGTCTTCAACACTCCAACAGAGCCATTTCAGATACCCCAAGCTTGAGAATGTGCAGAAATTTTTAAGAATATACAAGAAGGCGGACCAGAGGCAAGGATATGAAGAAGTCTTTTCCCGTCTGGGGAACTATAACTCAGCTCTGATTTACAATATGGAAACGACACAGTGGCTGAGCTTGTTTTCTGTCTGGTTGTAAACATAAAAGATGGTACCGTTACTCAACCTCAAAGACAAGATTCAAAGGAGAACCAAGAGAAAGGAGAAAGAAATCAGAATTTTCACAGTAAAGGGGAAACATTCCCAGTGTTTGGAAAGGCATGAACCAGGAGAGTTAACCTCACCATGAGGACTCTGATCTGCCAAAACACCTCCCAGTGCCCACCCTCCCCTCTCGATCTAGTCAGGGCCAGGCCAGAACCCAAGACCTCAGGAAGAGCCCAACAGCGTTCCAAAGAAATGGGAGTGTTGCCACAGCAGTCAGGGTCTCAGGCAAGCAAATATGTGTCTTCCTACAGACTCCCACTCCAGGGAGAAGGAGCCGCCTGCAGACTTAGACTCCAGTCTGCACCAGCATTCCTCAGGAGCGACTCAGGATGAGGGAGAGGCTGGTGTGGACCGAGGCAGGGTCCCCAGGGGGATAGAAACACTATGAACGGCCTGTAAAACACTTAAAAAATCTCAGCTCAATTGTCTGTGGTCTCCCCGAAGATATCAGCTCTGTTTTTGTTTTGGTTCAGTTTGATTTATTTCTTTTAAGCACCTGATACCACAATGAAGCTTTGGTCTCTTTTCCAAGAGGAAACACAAGCGAATGTGACTATTGGGCACCTCCTCTGTTTTGTTTTCTGAACTCTTCCCCGCCCCCTGTGCCTCAGCACAAGCTTAAATTCTGGGTCCAGCAGCCAACTTAGGTGCAAAGCAAGCAGGTCTGCGTCCAGGAATGCTGACCCCAGCTGGCAGGCTCCAGCCCATGCCTCACGCTGGTCGCTGTTGACCTTGAGTTTTCTTAACAGCACCAGGCTCATGGGATGAGCAACAGAGGCTTTCAGGATGCCAGGGAAGAGAGGAAAAGAACAAGTTCCGCCTCCCTGGAGGAATGGTTTGAAATAAATCACTGTGTGTTGTAATAGCTTCCGACCTCATTAGAACAAAGAAAGAAAAAGAAAAAAGCACATTTGGCACTTCTGAGAGGGAAGGCAGCCGGAAGAGGGAGGGGGCAGTACGACACCAGAGGGTCAGCACTACCAGTTACAATAAACTGCTAGGATTTATTGGATCTCAATGGGTCTTCACATCAACCCTGTGACAGGCTCGTAATTTTTGCATTTCAGGGTCAGAAAATCAAAGTTCAAAGGGCCACGGGTCCTCTGCCCTGGGTCATTCAGTGAATGAGTGAGTGACAGAGCTGGGTTTCAGTCCAAAGGAGTCCAGCCCTGCCCACACATGCCCTCAATCTCAGAACATGGTCACCAACCTATGGTTTCAGAATCCACCTTTTGGGAGCCCTGACAAGTGCTGGTCAGTTTCCCAGGCGATCATTCCAAAATTTCTTTCTCTTCCCCCTTCCTCCTACATTGAAGGAGCAATGACTGTGCCTCCAGGGGATGCTCAGAAGGAAAAAAACACTGATAAGATCTTGCCACCGTGAGACTTCAAGATTGAGGGAGGAGCTGGATAGTGAACAGACCAGCTACAAAGTATCAGGTGAGTGTTGTGATGAAAATGAATTGCTGGCCACTTGGTCAAGTGGGGGGTGGGGTCAGGAAGGCCCCTTGAGGAGGATATATTTTACTATAACCCAAATGAGCTGGCTATGGGGGCCATGAGGGAGAATGAGGAAGGATCAGGGGGCCATGGCGCATACAGTGCTGGGAAGGAGGGCGTGAGAAGGCAGGTGGGGAACAGAGGTGAGAGCAAAGACGGCTGTGGCTCTCCACCCAGGCCACACTCCACCACCATCTGCAGAGTCTGACCATGATTCCCATGCATGGGCACTGGGATCTAAACCAGAATCTCCCATGGTTCTAGTGGGCACCTTGTAATAGGGAAGAACAAATCTGACTCTGTATTAGATCCATTTCATTAATCTTTGTATCCTATTGCTTTTGCTGTGAGTTAAGAATGTTCCTGGAAGCCTGAAATATACAGGAGAGCCCCTTTTCAAGGCTCTGACCTTTAAGGGTGTAACACTCTGCCATTCATATAGAGATGAAAAGTTGCAAAACAGAAAATAACATTTGTCCTGTTGGAGGTTTACCAGGAACCTCATGACACCTGCAAGAACAAAGGGTTCCCACACCCAGAAGTTTGCCAAAGCCAACGCCCCCCTCATTCACCATGCCTTTACAAGTGCTTTGCGGAAACCCTTAGGGGAGGTTGGACTTGGGGGCACGAGCCACCCATTTTCCTTATACGGCCCTCCAATAAACCTTTCTCTGCTCCAGACCCCACATTTTGGGTATTGTGGGCCACACGATGCTTGGGCATACAAACTTGCATTGGTAACTGCTGGAGGTGGGAACCATCCTTGCTGGGTTTGTGAGTCTGCTAAGGAGAATTTCAAGTCTGTTGAGTGCTCCTTCAGAGCAAGAGGCAGAGGGCCACGTGAGGTTTCAAGTCGGGGCTCTGATTTGGATTCCCAAAGGATGGCTCCAGCAGCTGCTCAGAATATGCACCAACTGCATACAGTAAGGCCTTCCTGGGTGGCTCAGGCGGTAAAGAATCCGCCGGCAATGCGGGACACCTGGGTTCGATCCCTGGGTTGGGAAAATGCCCTGGAGGAGGAAATGGCAACCCCACTCCAGTACTCTTGCCTGGGGAATCCCTGTGGGCAGAGGAGCCTGGTGGGCTGCAGCCCACGGGGTCGCAAAAAGTCGGACACGACTGAGCGGCTAAGCACACCAGACAGAGTCCCTTCCAACTCGGCTGCAGGAAGGCAGGTCAGACTGCTGTGGCTGGGTAAGCAGCGCTCAGGACAACTGGGAAATAGGAGGACTCAGGACTCAGCTGCACCCACTGAGCAAAGCGGGTTGTGAAGGTGGGACAGAAAGCCAGATTTTATGGGGGAGGGAGGGAGGGGGAGTCTGGGGTTAGCAGAGGCAAACTATTATATGTAGAATGGATAAGCAACAAGGCCCTACTGTATGGCACAGGGAACTGTATTCAACACCTTATGATAAGCTATAATGGAAAAGAATACGAAAAAGGACGTGTGTACATATATGTATAACTGAATCACTTTGCTGCACAGCAGAAATTCACACAATGTTGTAAATTAACTATAGTTGAATAAAATAGAAAGAAAGACGGAAAGAAAAACAGGCTTTGGGTGGGAGCCACCCTCCATTTGACTGTTTAACTTTCACCTGTTTGGGGCCCGGTAGACTCAAGGATCAGTAAGACAAAACACTCAGCCCAGGGACAGAGCCAGATACACGTGGCCTTCAGGTGTCACTACTGACATCTGCATCGGGAGAGGGCTCGTGGGGGCTGTGTGGTCCATCATGGAAGGGATGCAACTGGGGAGACTTCACAGAAGGACACAGCTGAACTGAATCTTGAAAAAGAAAGTGGCGTCCTGATAGTGAGAGGGAGTCCAGGACTGAGGTGGCCCTGGGTGGAAACACAGCAAGCCTGCGAGGACCAGCCTACAGCAGGAGATGGTGCTTCAAGGAAATATGCAGCTGGCTCCACTCGGGACCTCGTTTTACAGGATGGAAACCATCCTACATGCACTTTGCTTAAAGATACAGTGAAAGCCCATCTATCCATACCCTTTTAATGGGAATTCTGCCTTTATAAAATTAAAGTGACTGGTGAGAAAAACTTTCAGCCAGCTTATGGATCTTTTATGGATTTTCCTTGAAGCTTCGTGTATTCTAATTCACTAATACGGAGGAAAGAGCTGAGGCTGTATTTACGTCCCATTATCATTCAAATAGAAAACACTCCCCGCCCAACCCCCTGTTAATACAATTACTAAGGTAGTAAATTGCCCATTT